CAACAAAGCTGCCAGCTTCACAGTGACATGTTGAAGCTATTTTTAAACCCCCTCTACTGCCTGTCAGTTATAACACCCTTTTTGGAGGCTAAAATAGAACCAGTTTCCAGTATCTACAAACCAGAACCCAATGGATACTTTTGGCATTGTCTGACACATTCTTGGGAGCCTCAACAAGGAGGCCAGGAAAAGTCTGGACATAAAGCCAAAGTTCTGAAAAGAATTGAACTACACTGGACAAAATACTGTAAAGCCCTATGTGGAAGAAAAATCACTTCAAACAATATTATGATCATATTTGGACAAAGAGTAAGTTTTATATCCATATTTGCAGAGCAAGTGATGCTGTTACTTCTCACCAAGGCACCAGCACCAAGATCTGTACTCATAGTAGGAGCATTACTAAAACCAGCAAACCAGAGTGCAAATGTTCTACCATGTCAAACAGCAGACACAACAAGATAAGAAAGATATTGTGTCCCATAATTCCAGTCCACAAGAGGAACACTGCTGTAATTTCTCAAGGAGATGATCAAGGAAACATCAACCTAGTAACAACATCATCAATTCTGGTTTTTTTTGTAGACAGAAAGCATAAAACATTGCATCTTATTAACGAAAACAAGAGAGCAGATGATAGGAAAGGAAGATCCAATAATGTTTTTCTCTTTTTAACATTTGCCTAGACCTTGAGTTCAGCCCCTGTAGGGCATTAAGCCAGTGAACCACTGATACAGCAAGAAACAGAAAGTCAAAGATGTACCTGAGAGGACCCTGACCAACAGGCTGGCAGCTCACACCAGCTTTTCTCAAAAAGAGTCACTGATTTATTTTTGGCTTTATGTCTAGTCAGAATCACCAATTTAAGCAATGAAAAACACCGAGAATTTAGGTCTCAAATTCTTGTAAAATTTAAAATGCTAAACCAGGAGCACTTACACGTGAAAGAACTTAAACACTACTGAGGATACCCCACTAGAGCTCAGCTCTTTCAATATGGTTGAAAATTTAATTAATTAATATTGAGAGCGATTTTAAAAATCTTGAAATGAAAGAGAGCACTCGAGAAAAGTACAACTGGTGCACTTGAATCCAAATACTAGCTTCAAGAAATTATTCCATTACAATGAGCTGAACAACAGGCATACAGGTAAAGAGAGAATTATTGAGTCTAACTAAAAGTTTCTTTTGCAGAAGAGACATTTTAAGATCAAAATTTCAAGCTCTGGTACAAAACAGTAATGTAATCTCTGGTTTAAAAGTAGCATAAATAATTTCTAATCCTTGTGACTACACAAAAAATCATCAGAGTTATGACCAAGGTTCAATATAAGGGTTAAAAAACCAAGAGACAAAGAAAATGAGCCTAAAGTACTTATAAACCAATCAACTGAGAAATACCACTGCTGAGCTTTGAACTTATCTCAGCATTTTGAGACAAGTTTATAATCTGAGTCTTATTAGTGGGTGAGTTTGGACCAAAAACAGAGATACAGTACTAAGCATCTCCTTAAACCTAATACTCCAGCTAGCTTTTTGATATAAAGACTTATGAATTCAGAAATTTAGTTACTGGCACACAATTACTTCAGGCTTATCCACAAGAGGGGGCTTGCTTCTGTGTCACAGGAAGAGATTTAGACAGATTTAGAGTTGCAGAAGAGAAGAAGGAAGCAAAGGATTCCCCATCTGTAACTACCTGTGCTCAGGAAGCATGCAAATATTTACAATGTCTCTTTTAAAACCCATTAAATTGATTGGCTGAGCCTGACTGCTTGAGGGCTCTTCAAAAGCTCCTATTTTCACTTACAGCCTCATGGTTCACCTACAACCCTCATGGAGACATATACTTAAGATAAGCATGCATAGTACTGTAGAACTTCACAGGCTTTCGCAGTGTGGCAAATAAACCCTCATTTTGCCAAGTCACATTTTTCCCCTAGGAACATCATGCTGCAGCTTCCCTTCCCATTCAGTTAGGTTGCTTAAATAAATAAATCTCAGTCCCTCTAGCACTGTATCATTCATATTTTAATCGTTAGTCTACAGATAACTTGACCCTTACCTCCACAGTAGCTCACAGATCCAGATGCAAGCAGTGGAAGTCTCACAGCACTTTCAAAAAGTAGATTCCTGCTTTTGGCTAAGTTGTTGAGTCCCTGGGACACATTGGACTGTTTGAGAGCACTTGCAGAGCAGATCACTTCCATATGGAGACAGTGGACACATGAGAATTCATCGACATAGCTGTAGACCTTGGGTTTTGGAAGAGGCTGTGAATATGGCAATGAAACTGGACTAGATGAGATACAGAACTCTGAGTTTGTGCTTTAATGTTCAGGCACTTACAGGATGCCTGTAAGTGTTGGCTTTGGACATTCAAGCAGGTAGAAATAGAATAATAATTCCCTTTTGTCCTTCCATTTCTGTATCAACAGGATCCTCTGAGTATTCCATTCTCTACACAAAATTGTTCTATCAGTTCATTAATTATGTGCATTTAAGAAAAACTTCCAAGGGAAAGGATGTAAGAAGGAATAAATTCCACATTTAGGTCTGAAATTGGATATTTCACTGCAGTAGCAAGTATAAGTGCTATGCAGACACATTAGACATCCCATTCCCTCTACCCCCAGAAAATGTGACACATTTACATTATTCATTAGCACATGGCACAAAAAAGCCTGGGTTTTTGCTCACTCTTAGCTCTCACAGACATTACAGCCATAACTGATCACCAGGCTTACTGGGAATTTGTCTTCTTTGGCTCACCTTCTTATCAGGTATTCATTTTCCTCTCTAGATGCTGCCATAGGAGTTTATGAACATGAAGAGAAAGCACCTCTCCCTTCGAGCAAGGCTGCTGATACCCGCGTGGAGCCACACTTTTGTACTTCACCTGCAGCAAGAGATGACACAGGAAGCAGAGCACTGGGGTAGCAGGTTCCCTCTTCTCTACACAAAGTGGATCACAGATCATTCCGCTGAATCTACCGGGCAGAAACCAGAATGAGGGTGTGGAAGAACTGATACACTTCCTGAACAGCTTTGGAAAGCCCCATGCTTGACCACAGTTCCAAAGAAATACTCTGTGGTCTCCACACATCCTCCTGTCTCCTACAGGCTTTGTTCCTGTGCTGTTTCTTTACCCTTCAAATTATTCCTCTTTTTCTTCATCTTCTTAAATACCACTCACCATACTGAGTTATTGCACTGTGTCAATTCTGTGGCACACCTCCTCCTTCCCTCAGGCTTCCTCAGTCTGTCACCTTACCTCTACTCAAAAGACCCTAAGCTAGACCCAGCTACTCAAGCCAAACCCTGTGCTTAACTGCCCTCATGCAAAGATCAAATCATAGGGATGAGCTGTACCCAAACCATTCCAGTACAGGCTCAAGGCCTTTCTCAAAGTTCAGAGCTCTTGCTTATGAGTCCCTCAAACCCAACTGTCTACTCTGCAAAATAAAATTTGTGCTGCCACGTGGGGGAGCTTGTACTGTGGCTAATGCTCATTGCTTCCAGATCAAGAGAAAGGGACAGCTCAGCAGCGCTAAGGACTGCAGCTACTGGAAACTCTGTTCTGGAGAGGCTGGTTGAAAACCTGACACATGTGTAGATAGTGCACACACACTTTAATAAAGATGTTCCTTTTCAAAATTATCTTGGGTGACAATCATTGACTTTGCCATAGCTCATAAACTGTAACTCATAAAAATTTGCAAATTCCAGTTGCCCTTAGCCTGGTAAAATAATAGAATTTAAATTGGAAAGACCTGTAAGATCCTCAAGTCCATCCATTAACTAGCATTGTCAAATCCACCACTAAACTATGTCCCTAGCCATGCCACATCAACTAGATCATGATCAGAATGATAGATCAAATAAAACAAAAATTCCTGTATTTTAAAGGGATAAGTAAAGCAAACAAGTCATAAGGATCAGTTCCAGACCCCCACTGAGATGATTTATAAACACAACCACCAGACTGGAATCAACTTTACCCCTTGCTGAGCCATGTTCGTCTGCAAAGCCATCTTGACAGCTGAAGCAAACACAGGTAAACCAGCAATCCAAAAGGCAAGGAACTTGTCCAATCATATTTACCAAATAGATGGACTTGAAGTCTACTTGAAACCTCTTAAAATTGCAGCTATGCCTCAGAGACAAAACTAGAGATAAAACTCAGCTCTCAAGTAATTCAAAAAACAAGCAGTCTAGTAGCCAGAGTGTAGGGGGATAGAATACAAGAAAATAAAGATAGTGTAGAAAATAATCTTACCCCTAAGGAGTTGCAGCTGGGCCAGTTATCAAAGATTAGGAGCAGGCCTGACTTTAACAGGCCACAGCTGCAACCAGTGAGAAGAAGAGTGCTATAAAAGAATGGGGTGGCTAGTTGAGAGGGGAACTGGAGTTGGTTGGATGCTTTGTGAAGACGAGTCAGTGCTCTGAGAGATGCCTGTGAGAAAAAACCAAAAAGGTATGAAACTTCTGTGATCAGTGACAATAGTATGGAACCCCTGCCATATGATGATAACCCCTGAGGAGATGAAAAATGACTGGGGTGGGTGGTTGGTTTTTTGAGTGGGGTGGGTTGTTTTGGTTTTTGGAGGTTTTTGTGTGTGTGTGTGAGGTAGGTTGTCTTGTTCTCTGTTTAAACCAAACGAATTGCTCGAAAGCAGTTTGCCGGTACGACGAAGGCTGGCCACGTGCAAAGGGAAGACAGCTGGGGGCACTCCAGCCTTGAGCTGCACCCGTGAACCACTGGGCGGGGCAGTCAAAGGCCCCTCACGAGCACCGCGCTGTCCCCGCCAGCAGAACGCCTCGGGGCGCCGGCGCCCGCACGGCGGCAGGGCGCAGCACGGAGCTGTGGGTCAGCCGGGAGAGGCGGGATCAGCCGCCGCACCTCTCCCGTTGGCTGCGGCGCCGCTGCCGGGCGGGGCTGCCCCGGGCCGTGCGAGGCGCGGGCGCGGCGGGCGCAGCGGCGGCCCCGAGGCGGGAGGATGCGGGCGGCGCCCGGGGCGCAGCCGGATCGGCCCTTCAAGCTCAGGAAGAGTCTCGGTAGGGGCGGCGGGGGCGCGCAGCGCTGCGCGGGTCGGAGGGGCTGCGCGCACACGTAACGCGTCTCTTCTCTCCTCTGCCTCACAGCCAGCCGGCGGGAAGAAGTAGCAGGGATCCGAGCCAAGTTCCCGACAAAAATCCCGGTAAGTCTGTGGTTTGTTAGCGGAGGTTGTTGTCGCTGTTTGAGGAAAGAAGCGTGTGAGGGGAGGGAAAGGGACCTGGATATTTTAGGTATTGCTAAGTATGACTCTAATTAAAACAGGTAATTGTTGAGAGATACCATAAAGAGAAATACCTTCCTGTCTTGGACAAAACCAAGTTTCTGGTTCCCGAGGAGCTGACCATGGCACAGTTCATAACCATCATCAGGTAGGTAGTGGATACTAGTGGGTTGGAGCTGCACCTGGGCTTGGCTGCTGCTCCCCAAGAAGGCATTTCCTAGTGTGCTGCTTCCTTCGGTGGGTAGGAGGATAAAGGTGTTAGTTAATGTAATGGCTTCCCTCTCTTGCTAGGGTTCGAAGACAGGTGTACTATTGGGAAAAATGGGGTCTTTCTTGGGTTCACAGTCCTCTCCCTTCTCCCTAACTGTAGTGAAAAAAGACTATATAAAATTCTTGTTCTGCTCTCTCTCTCTGCCTCATGGAATAGGTATTGGGGCTCTGTGTTCTGCTTATGACTGTCACTGCCTTGCTCTCTTACTGCACCTAGCTGAATTTGCTTTAGTTCAAAGCAGCTCTTGAATGGGAGTGAAATGAAATGTGTTGCCAAATTTTTCTTTATGAAGAAAGAACACAAAATATTCAGTGGTATTTTCTGACAAAATGTGAAAGCTATGTGTTTCAGTACAGTTTTTAAAGTATAGAAAAAGATCTTTCTAAATTGTAACTTTTGTAATAGATGCTTTTGGCTCTTGGACAACTTAGATTGTAATCCTTGCATGTAATGTCTCTGAAAAGGACTTGTTTTTTGTAGACTTTACAGTAAGTGTAACAGACTGGAGCTGGAATCCTTTGCAAAATCTGCACTATGGAAGCTTTTGGTTTCTATTCACACTTTTCCCTGGTAACTGGGAACTCCAAGCCCATGCCCAGCACCTTTGGTATAGCCATGTAAGCCTTGCCTTTGAGCTTCCAGTTAACTTCCTGCTGATGGAGACAATAAACCACACAATAACTTTACACAGCATTTTTTGTCCCTACTTCATGCAACTGCTCTGCTTAATGTATGTCATAGACTGAAGTTGAAACCACATTCAACTTGCTAATGTTTAATCCTCTTTTTCAATTAGAAGCAGGATGGCTCTGACAGCTACACAAGCTTTCTACCTGCTGGTGAACAACAAAAGCCTAGCCAGTATGTCCTTGACAATGGCAGAAGTGTACAGGGACTACAAAGATGAAGATGGCTTTGTGTATATGACCTATGCTTCCCAGGAGATGTTTGGATGCTTATTACCCACTGCCCAAGGGAAAACTGTGGAATGCTTTCAGAAAATCTAAGATTGGGTTCATATGCTGCAGCAAAGCAGTTTGCTCTGAATCATGCCTGTGACATGAACCTTGGAGATGCTCCTTCCAGTGTGAGCTCTTGAGCTCTGTAGTGGGAGTTATGACCCAAAAGCTGGCAGGACCAGCTTAAGACAGAAAAGGTGGTACACTTTCCCTAGGTAATAATTTGGATATCTATTTTTATATTTGAAGACACTATGGGTTAGGTTTTTTTTTGTCTTTTGAACTGCACCCCCACTGCTTTGCAATATCAATCTTTATTGTGAAACTGATTTTAAAGGTTTCCTGAAAGCCTAAGAGAAAAATAAAGAACTTTTTAAGTATTGAGTTGAATGTTACTTTTAATCTGGGGCAAGACTGTAAAAATTTGTCCAGGAGAAGATCCTATAATAATTCTGGGAATTTGAGCATAATGCCTTTTAAATAAACACTGCTTGCACAGCTACTCTGAATTTTTCAATGAAATGTCAAAGTTTAAATTGTGTCACCCATGAGCAAAACCATAGCTATAAAAGTTTCATTAAGGTAGGTATCTGGGCTGTGAGATTAAACAGGAGTGCTAGAGCAATGTTAACACCTGAATAAACTCAGCTGTTACAGAAAACACTGTCTGTGGTATAGATAACTATTTGTTTAAATAAGCAACCTGATTGCTAGTCAGCATTAACTGCAATGCAGATAGCAGGACTTGAAGGGTAATCAAGTTTCAAGAGTTATTTTCTTGCTGCTGAATTTTGCTAGCATGGTTACTCTAGATACTGTCATATCCATCCCCTACAGGCACCTGCTTGTCAGGTACCCTGAAGCACTTCAGTGAGCCTTCTTTCAACAATGGAGCCAAGACATGTGCCTTGTGATTAAGAGATAGTCCAGTGTTTCTGGAAAATGTTGAAAATATCAAAAATACCATGTAGTAAAATGTGGATTTATCTTAATATACAGGCTTGGTTCCTATAAGCATGTATTAAAAGTAACACTTGAGCCTTAGACCGAAGTATAGCTCAAGCTGGCTTCCCTGTATGTGAGAGATGTGTTGTAAAGCTGGAAATGCTCTGATCATGCATGATCAACTAAAACCACCAGGTAATTAAAAAATCTGTCACAGCTTGCAGTTTATTAATCAACCTCTGGCAGCCTCAGTTTAGGATTGGTCAAATTGTTACACTATGATGCGATTCTTCTGTTCAGTACTAAACTGCAGAATTAATGTAGGAATAACTAGACTGCAAAGAAAGAAGTGTTGACAGTATTTAAGTTATGTATAAGGAAGGAATGTGTGTGTCAGCTTTTTGCAGTGGTTCTCTTGCATTAATAATCTCTTGAACATGAAGTTCTGAGCAGACCTGGGTTTGAACCTCTAAACCTGGAGTTTTAAGGAGTGCCTGCTGTAGTGGATGTGATGTTTGCCTACTCATGTTTCATGAGCTGAGGAACAAAGCAATCATTGACCTGACCTGTGGAAAGGATAAGGCTATGATGGTTTAGGTTATAAAAACATGTGGGCTTTGGGATCCCAGCATCAGTTCTTGGATATATTTCACTTATACTTGTAATGCAACAGTTTCCATTGCAGAAATTGAATAGTCATTTGTCACCAGCCCTTCAGGGAAGCAGAGACACCTGCTTGGCAGCAGCACTACACAGAAATGCTGAACAGCTGTGGGAACCTTGGGGTGGGAGGAGCAAGGGAAGACTTTCTGTGTTCAAGCTCTCTTGCCAGTCTAGAGTTGGGCTAATATTTTGCTTCGATGGCTCCTCTGTCTTCCTGTCCTGTGTGATACTTGGTACATGAAGAGACAAGCACTACAGCTTCTTGGCTGGAACAATTTTGTCTGACAGCCAGCTTTCTTTGGTTTGTAATGTAGTGGCTGAGGTGCAAGTGTTGATCCCTCCAGCATTTAATAACATTTGGCTATGGTGTCTACAGGCTGAGTCACAGATCCAGCCAAAAAAGTTGCACAAGGAGAAGGTCATTTGCAGGTAAAGAGCATCATTATAAACTTGTTTATACTGGCCTGATGAACCTAGAAAGAAGTCCTGTGAATTGGGAAAGCATCATTGGGTAATAGCAATAGACTTGCTTTTCTATCAGATGTTGAAGAAGTTAGGATATTAACTATCAAAGACAGTTTTCATGAAGTCTTAAAAGAATAAACTAGGAGTTACATGCCCAAATAATTCTGTTGTCTTGCTTGTGGAATTGCCTTGGTATGATTAGAAGGTTTGAATTTAACCTATTCTCTCTTGAAGTACAAAGAACAAGGATTAGAAAATAAGCAAACAGAAAAACTTTTCTCTGACTGACATGTGCAACTGAGATAGCTGCAGCTACTTCCCATATAGCTGCTGTTTGAAGAGCTAATATTTACTCAAGCAAATACTGATTAGAAACAGGTATATTTTTTTTTCAATGAAGGACACAATGCTGTGTTAAGCAGATTTTATGCTTCTTTCCAGTGTGCCACTAATGTAAGAAGAGACTGCAGAGATGCCATTTATTTTTAAAAGTTTTATCTTCATGATATGGACTTGTATTCATTAATATCAAAGATATCCACCAGAGTACAGAAAACATTCTGAGGATACTTCTGTTTCTTCCATAGACTACCAGCTCAATCCCAGAAAGACGCTCAGTGCTCTGGCTTCAAATATAAACCAAATCAACCTGAATGATATGGAATATTAGAGTGGTATGAGAGCCTTGCTGGAACAGTGATCCTTGAGGGAAGTATGTCCTGCAGCCCCCTGCAATAACCTGTGCACAATACTTTATGGAGTGCAAATTGACATTTGGTGCTACAAGGCAAACATGATAACCTCAGCATGGGCTTTAGCACACATAAGCAACAGCAGGAGCTTTCCAAACTGTTTGGATTTAAAAATGACTTAATGTTATGTTTTGGTAGAATAAATAAATGAATGGGAACACTAATCTTCTTGTTCAAGGCAATAACACTTGTGAACTTAAATGGGCTTTTTACTGTTTTCCCATGCTAACTATTTCCAGATGGTGGTAGTTTCAGGATAAAAATATTTTAATATTTTACACACACTAAGTGACAGATGGTATCCTCTGCTGCAAATAAGTTTCTTTGTTTAGGTGAAATACAGTAAATTAAGAAGGTAAAATGAGATAATAGGACAGAATATTTTACCTTCAGCATCAAATTGCCCTGCTGTATTCTTTCAAGAAAACCTGAAGAGAAATTATAGGGAGAAAACAAAAAGACCTAAGCAGGACAGAAACATTTTGAAAACATGTTTTTTAACCTATGCACTATGAAGTAGAACAGGGGAGAGTGGAAGGGTTTCTATGGAAAACCTTCAAGAGTTCCTTGAGGGAGGTTAAGAAATGTGATTTCATATGTCACAGTGCCAATATACAAAACTAGTAATGGCATACATACTTCCCTCAAGAACCACTGTTCCAGAAATAATTTGAGACAAATCTCCTGAATCCTTAAACAGCCCCTTTTTTCATAGTTTTGAATCAACCCATAAGAGAAAAAAAAAGTCCAATAAAAACCAAACCAAAACAAAAAGGCAACAAACCCAAACCCAGACTTCTCCCTATACATATGTGCTTAGTTTCTTTAGCTTTCCTTAGGTGCTTTGTTGCTTTATAGTGTTAGCTCTACCCAGTTCTCTCCCCTGATGATTTTAGATTGCCTCTTAGAAGTTTAAGTTAGCTACTACTTGTTCCTGTACGGTCGACAACATGCAAAGGCAGTTAGGTCCTACAATAAATAACAGTCTGGCCCTAGTTTAGAGGGACATGAGTGAAAACTTGTCCCCAGAAAGTCATATCACTCCCTGTCTCCTGTATTTCATGTGGTGCCTCTCTTGTGACTGCAATGTACCTATGGCACACAACTGGAGCAATGCAGTCCAGGTGCGTTTTGAAGAACCCAGGGCAAGTCTCAATGCCAGAGTTCAAAAAGCAGCACTGTCCTTTCCCCTGCAGTGGCAGACCCTCATAAGGTAGCTCCATGTGTACCCAAGCAGCCCCTCCTCAGTCCCTGCCTGCCTGCCTGGGTACACATGGAGCTTCCAGGGCAGGCAGGCAGGGACTGAGGAGGGGCTGCTTGGGCCACTCAGCACTTACATCATGTCTGTCAGGGACTGTAAAGGGCCTTTATGAGGCTGCCTATGATTTGTTGCAGGGTGGGCTTGGCTGCTAGTGTTTATTTTTGCAAATATTTCAAAACCCTGCCTTTACTTTCTTTCTGTATATAACAGCAGGGTCTGGATCTTAATCAGACCTTCAGCTCAAACCTGTTTTATGTCAGAAATGCTATTGATTGCATGGTCCTTGATCCTGTCGACCAAGACATGCCTAAGTAGACCTAAAATTTATTTCTTATTCTCAAAAACAGAGCCAAGACTTTACAGCCTGACAAATGGATTTCCAGGGAAATTTTTAGGTAACCAATGGGTGAGGGAAGGGGAAGGAGTGAGCCAGGAGGTTAAGCATGCATATCAGTGCTCCCACCCAAAGCAGCTACAACCATGTACTCTTCACAAGCCTCCCTGTGACTGCCTGGAAAGCCTGAGCCTCAGTGTGAACTCACTAAGGTGACTATTACACCCATTAGCTTACAAAGAGAACTTAGGAGAAAGAAACACGTGCTCACAGATGGAGAGTGGCTATAGCCTTTTCCTGAACAAAATGTGAGCTCTGTCAATGGAAAAAACCACACAGAACGGTGCTGAAAGGCAGACATGGCAAATAAAGAAATTCTATTCTTGGTGCTGGCACTACTTCACAAGGCAACTTGGCCCTTACTCTGAGAACTTAAAAACTTCATGTCAAGTGATGGATAGTAATATGGTCTCTGTCTGACCCTTCTCCCTAGAAATGCTGCATCTGTGCTCAAAAATTAAAAATCAGATTGAGATGTGAGCTGCATATTTGAATGCTGACTGGCTGAGGAAGATTAACTCATTTTCCAGCAGCTTGATGCTACACCTACAGAATAAAAGAGCCATCAATAGAGAAAACAGCTGCTGTGCTGCAGGTGAGGGCAGAATCACCAGCTTAGTGCAGAAACATCTGTGCTGTCTAGACTGTCAGGGTAACCCAAGCATTGCAGGGGTTATGAAGATAATTTTGCTGTTGGAAATGATATTGGCTCTGTATAAATCTGTCAAAAATGTCAAGAGAGGCTTCAGGAGAAATGGCATTTTCCTAGGAGGCAGCTGGCTTTGGTTTAAACCTCAGTTCT